TTTTTTTTTACATTCAACAACATTTTATGGGAGGTTGCATTTAAAAACTTTTTTTTTTTTGCATATAACATTTTTTTTTATTTTTTTTTACAATTATATTTTTCAACATATTGGCTTTTTTTGCATTTAACAATATTTTGGCGGGGTGAATTTAAAACATTTTTATGTTTTATTTTGTATTTTTGTTGTATTTGGTTTTTTTGCATTAATTATTTTTTTGTTTATTTTATGGGGTTGTATTTAACAACTTTTCCTTTATTTTTGTTTTTTTGTGTTTTTAACAACATTTTTGGGCTGTTTGGGCCCGGCTGGCGCTCTGATGGAGGTGTTTGTGTTTTTTTGTCTGTGTCTGCAGCCGGGACTCCAGAGGCGGAGGGCTCCCAGAAGGAGGGTCTGGGGATGGGCACGCTCGGAGGTCCAGCAGAGAAGAGCCGGAAGCTGCAGAAGAAGTGAGTCTGTTTCTTCTCAGAGGTGCTGGCCAGGGCTTCGTTCCCCCTGCTGCCGCCCCCCCACCTGCCACCTCAAACCCCTCAGCAGCACAAATGTTGTCTGGCCGCCATCATAGTTCCCCCCTCCACCATTTGCAAACCTCACGCTTCTGTTTTTTTTTTACCATCTCCTTCTCATTCCATGTGTAGTCCAAAGACCGGGTAAGTCCATCCTCGCTGCCTGGCCTGCGCCCTGTCCTCTGGTTTCCCTCCTCAGTGGCCGGCCCCCTCCGGCCCCCCCCCTCTGGCCTCTGGTGGCTTTTCCCTGCTGCTCTCTGCCCGCTTTCCACAGAGCAGCTTAACTAACAGGAATGTGCGTGCTGGTTTCCAGCCAGTGGGGCGTCTCCCTCTCAGAGCATGCCCTCATGCACAGTTTACGTGCTTAAATCCGGGAGTTGAAGAGTCTCTTACCGTTTTAGGGACGTTTTTGAGCTGTTCCATGTGCCCTCTAGCCCCATCTAGTGGTCAGGTGGACTGATGTCCCACTAACTCCACCCGTCCCCAGCTCAGGATGTGCATGATGTGCAGCATTTAAGCGCCCCACCTCCTGCTGTGCATGTCGGGCTCCCGCACACGTAGAGGAATGCATTTACCCCGAATTCAATTTAAAAACGGACCCTTAAAGCCCCGGAAAATTTATCCGGGGGCTAAGTCCCCTCCATTTTAAAAAGCCTGGCTCGTCTCCCGGCCGCTTAACGGAGGTTTTACGCTTTGGAAAAACAATTAACCTGCTCTGTTTTTCCCAGTTTGACCCTCTTTGAGTGAAAGCCTTATCCTTTTCCAGTGTGTTGAGGTCTTGAGGGGTTTGGCTCTTTTTCTCTGCTCTCTGTTTGGAGTGTGCATGTGGGCTCTGGGTTGGGGTTTGTTCACGTCTGTGTAAGGGGGGACTTTACCAGGAGTGCACGTGGAGTTTGAGCGGTGTGTTTTTGCTCGGCAGCATGAGTGGAAATGGGGCTGCCGAAGGGAAATGAACTGAGAATAACGAGCTTTGTGTGGCAGGCATGAGCTGCTGGAGGAGGCCCGGCGGCAGGGCCTCCCCTTCGCCCAGTGGGACGGCCCCACCGTGGTGGCCTGGCTGGAGGTACGTGTTCACAGCCCGGAGCCGCCCGGCTGAGCAGAGGGAGGGTCTGAACCAGCCCTCGTTTGTGTACATATTTCATGGAAAGTGGGAAGCTGATGCAGCAAAGAAACAAACCTGCAGATTTTTTAATGTTATAATGATATTAAATTATATTAATAATAATAAATTTATAATATTTATTATTATTTAATATAATAGTTAATCATATAAAATCACGTCATAATATTAATGTTCACGTTTTATTTCAAGAAAAAGAAATGGGCTGTTTAGTTAACTTTTATATTTATATTAGTTTTTTTGTTATTTTTTTCTAAATTTATTTATTTTATCGTAATTATTCACTCCTTATTTATTTGTATATGGAAATTCTTTCCTTTTTTTGTTATGGTATAATTATATAATATAGTAATGTTAGTAATAATATATTAATAATTGATTAGCATTATAATAATTCACAATATAATAATATTAGTGTTATAATATTAATGTCCACATGTTGTATTTTTTGTTGTTAAAATCAGAAATAAATCTAATTTAAATATGGGCAGAAATGGGGGCTTTTCTCCCCCTGAGCTGAGCTCCTCTCTCCTCTGGTGCTCCAGCTGTGGGTGGGCATGCCGGCCTGGTACGTGGCGGCGTGCCGCGCCAACGTGAAGAGCGGCGCCATCATGTCGGCGCTGTCGGACACCGAGATCCAGAGAGAGATCGGCATCAGCAACCCGCTGCACCGCCTCAAGCTGCGCCTGGCCATCCAGGAGATCATGTCGCTGACCAGCCCGTCGGCGCCGCCCACCTCCAGAACGGTACCCCCTCCCCCTCCCCAGCTTTTCCCCTCCAGCTGTTTGCCTCCAGATGTTCACCTTCAGCCGTGTCCCTCCAGCTTTTTTCCTCCACCTGTTTGCCCTCCAGCTGTTTCCCCCACAGCTGTTTCCTTCCAGCTTCTTTTGTCCAGCTGTTTCCCCTCCAGCTGTTTCCCCTCCAGCTGTTTCCCCTCCAGTTGGGTCCCTTCCAGCTGTTCCCTCCAGCTGTTTGCCCCACAGCTTTTCCCTTCCAGGTGTTTTCCCAAGAGCTGTTTCCCCCACAGCTGTGTACCCTCCAGCTGTTGTCCTCCAGCTATTCCCCCTTCAGCTGTTTTCCTCCAGCTGTTTCCCCCCAGCTGTTTGCCTCCAGCTGTGTTCCTCCAGCTGTTTGCCTCCCCAGCTGTTTTCCTTCCAGCTGTTTCCCCGCAGCTGTGTTCCTCCTGTTTGCCTCCAGCTGTGTTCCTCCAGCTGTTTTTACCTCCAGCTGTGTTCCTCCAGCTGTTTGCTCCTCCCCCCCCAGCTGTTTTTGCCTCCAGCTGTGCCCCCTCCAGCTGCCCCCCCCCCTCCCAGCATGGTCTTAATAACCACTAATGAATCTCTCTGACTGGCTAACAGTGAATGAACTCTGAACTCTTTTCCTCCTCTTCTCTCCCCCCCCCCTTCTGTTTCCCTCTTTGCACATGCGTGACGGTCGGTTGGTGTGGTGGGGGGGGGTGGGGTCCGGGGGTGGGGTTGCGTCACATGATCAGACCACAGGAAACGTCTGGGTCACACACGAGGAGATGGAGACTCTGGCGGCCACGCCCCCCACGGTTAGTCCTCCCTGATTGGCTGGTTTGTGGTGACTGTAGTGCCGTCTTGTTTCAAGCTGACCCCCCAGGACTGCCCCCCCCATGATCAGTGTTAATGCTGAACCTGGAACCTGAAGGCAGCTTGAAACACAGACTTCCCCCCTAGCTGTGTCCCTCCAGCTGTTTCGCTCCAGCTGTTTCTTCTCTTTCCTCGTCGTCGTCGTGTTTTGGGTTCCTCTCGTTCCTGATGCCGCTTTTCTTTGTGTGCGTCTGTGGTTCAAATGCTTCAGAGCTGTGAAATAGTTCAGCTTCCACGCGTAGAAATGACCGATGTCTCCACTGACGTCACTGTTGGAGAAGAAGCATTTAGATCCTCACGTTTTCTCTTTTTTTTTTAAGTGTTAAAAACAGATGCCTCTCATTGCATCTGATCCTTCTCTGTAAATCGGTGATCAACTCTTTCTGAATAGATATTTAACCCATGATCACTACTTAGAAAGCCTGTAATCAGCCAAACTGGGTCAAATCCAAACCCTGATTATTATACAAATTTCTACAAGAGTTTGGTCATTTGTTTGAATCTTTATTGAGCAAAAAGTCCAAAGAAATAATTTGCTGTGTCTGTATTTTAGTGACAAAATTGAACAAATCTAGACTTTGAAGCATAATCGTGTAAAAAAACAAAACAAAAAAAAAGTGCAGTTGAATGGCAAAAGAAAAGGAGAAGTGAAGATTTCCCCACCTGCTGATAGGTGAGTGACAGGATTGGTTATAAAAGCAGCTTCCACCATTTTGAGCCAAACTCCATCAGAGAATCACCAACAAGTCAGAAACCTTCTCAAAAAACTGACCGCAGACTAACAGGACATTAAATCAGAGAAAAAAACAGGAAAAGGTCCAGAAAAGGGCCTTTTAGGATCTATCAGGTCCAGAAAAAGGATCCATCAGGTCCAGAAAAGGCCTTTTAAGGTTTATTGTGGAATGATCGTCGTCTCTTTGGACTTTTATCTGCTCATTAAAAGTTCAAACTCACAATCAAAGCGCAGAAGAAGCAGTTTATTGACTGAAATAGCCCAATAAGGAGTCTCTGACTTCCCTTTGATCTCCGGTTTGGTGCGTGTGTTGTCTGTTTGCCTGCTTTGGTTCCTCGGGGTGGTTCTTGTCTCCAGATGAGCCGTCGTTGTCGTTCTCCTCCGGCTCTAACAGCACGGCCGCCTCACTAACCCACCTCTGTTCTTCTCACCATGCTACGCTAACCATGCTAACACCAGGAGGATGAGGAGGGCAGCTGGGCCCAGGTGTGCACCCCCCCCAAACACCACCTCTCTGCTCACTTTTTGTTCACGTCCACGGAGCTCAGACCCTTTCAGCCTTCATGTTTACCCCACAAAACCTGATGAGGTGGATTTGACCTCAGATCTGCAGGTTTTCTGGTCGATTCCTGAAGCAGGACCACTGATTTGTTCATTCTCAACGAGCGCTCAGTTGATACTGCTGTTGTCCCGTGGCTCAGTTTTACGAGTCCTGACTGTTTTCTTCCTGTTTGGGGCTGAAAAACAGCTGGATGCTTCTTGCTCTGCTGGTTCAACTCTGACAGAAAACTGTCTCAAATCGGATGTTATGCCTTATTCCTCCAAAATCAGCTCTAATTTTCTCTTAGACGTCACACTGCTGCAGAAAAACACTAAAATAAAACCGAAAAATTCTCAAATAAAACAGATAAACACTAAATAAAGTGTTTTTACTTATTGTTTTTGTTCAAATGGAGACTACTCCCACTTTCTGCCTCCAGAACCAGCTTTGATTTCCACTAAATGAGCTCTGTTCCAGCAGATGTTACAGACAGAAGTTGAAACATGTGTTCAGGATCTGGAAACGGCTTCACTGAGCATCAGAAACTCAAACATTTGGGCAAAGTTTTAGACTTTTTGCTTTATGAGCATTAAACAGACTTGAGAGGGACAGAAGACCTTTAGTTAAAGCAACAGGACTTCATCTTATCCAAAAGGCTTTTTCAGGCTTATTCGGTTATTCTTTTCAAGCCTTTCTGCTCTCAGGAAAACTAAAACCAGGAGGACTGATAAGCTAAACCAACGGAAAGGGGTAGAAAATGTCTGTAAATATGAGTTAGACCTTAAATTGTTTAAAGAAAATGACCAAAAGCTACAGAATCCCTGATTATCTGTTAACGATTACATGAAAATCGCTTATTAAACATAATAAGGAGTTACCCATTTCAGAGGACTGGATAGTTAGGTTTATTGATAGTTGATGTTTATTTTCGCCTGTTTTTATCTGTTTGGTGGAAATAAGGGAGCTCGTTCTGAGCCAGAGACTGAAACTGGACAGATTCAGCCTCTCCCGACATGAATCAGCCCTTTGAGAGCAGCAGATTAGAGCATCTAAGCAGGAAGCGCAGCCGATAACCAGCCAGGGAGCTAAAAATAAACCTGGAAGAAGGAGAAACATTCACCTGCCGCCACCCAGAAAAAGCCTTTTTATCTTATTTCAGTTTTTTTTTTGCCTTCAAGTCTGAGTTTGCTTAGATACTCTGAACATATTTGGCAGAAAACAAGTAAAGAAAACACAACAAAACAATGTTTTGTGTCTAAAAAGTGAGGCAGAGGAAGTCTGACCTGCTTTAAGAATACACCGCCTGCAGCATTGTTCACAGGTGAACATATTTAGTGTTTTCATTTTGTTGTGAAGCTTTTAAAAAGCAGAAAATAAATAAAAAAGCAGTTGATACGGAGTAGGTCAACAAGCAGCTGCATGAATATGATCCAAAAATGAGACAATAGACCCACTTTTGGACCATAATAAGGAATAAAGTTGCATTTAGTGCCAATATTTCTTGGGTTTTGCTCCTAAGCAGTTCTTTTTCAGTCACGATTTCAAAACAATTTATTGGTTTCATTGAGTCGTGGAGCTTTTAAAAAACAGAATATAAATGAAAATGAGACATTAGAGCCACATTTGGACCATAATTAGTAATAAAGTAGCATTTTGTGTCTGGGTTTCAGTTTTTGTGCCAACAGATTCGTTAAAATCAGTGTTTTAGAGAAAAATTTCTTTATATTTCTTGGTTTTTGCTGCTCTGGAGTTTTTTTTCCGTCACAATTTCAAAACAATTTATTGGTTTCATTGAGTCGTGGAGCTTTTAAAAAGCAGAAAATGAATAAAAAATTAAACATTAGACCCACTTTTGGACCATAATTGGGAATAAAGTTGGATTTAGTGGCTGTTTTTCAGCTTTTGTGCCAACAGATTCGTTAAAATCAGAGTTTTAGTGTCGTATTTTGAACGTTATGGCGGCGTTTTCGGTCCTCCTTCATATTTGGCGTCTGCGTTAGTCTGAGGAAGGCTGTTTTCCTGGACTCTGACTGGACCTCTCTGCCCGCAGACGCTGGCCTACGGCGACATGAACCACGAGTGGATCGGGAACGAGTGGCTGCCCGGCCTGGGCCTGCCCCAGTACCGCTCCTACTTCATGGAGTCGCTGGTGGACGCCCGCATGCTGGACCACCTCACCAAGAAGGACCTCCGGGGGCAGCTCAAGATGGTGGACAGCTTCCACAGGTGGGACCGGGGGCCTCTATAGGGGACTGGGGGCCCCACAGGTGGGACCAGGAGGGCCTCTATGGGGGCCCCACAGGTTGGACTGGGGGGGTCACAGGTGGGACCCGGGGGCCTCTATGGGGGCCCTAGGGTGGGATCAGGGGCCTCTATGGGGGACCCACAGGTGGGACTGGGGGCCTCTATGGGGGCCCTAGGATGGGATCAGGGGCCTCTATGGGGGACCCACAGGTGGGACTGGGGGCCTCTATGGGGGCCCTAGGGTGGGATCAGGGGCCTCAATGGGGGACCCACAGGATGGACCCACAGGTGGGACAAGGGGGGCCTCTATGGGGGCCCTAGGATGGGACCAGGGGCCTCTATGGGGGGCCCACAAGTGGGACCGGGGGGGCCTCTATGGGGGGCCCCACAGGTAGGACCATGGGGGCCTCTATGGGGGCCCCACTGGTGGGACCGGGGGGGCCTCTATGGGGGACCAGGGGGCCCCACAGGTGGGACCCCACAGGCCCAGATGGAGCTCAGAAAAGCCTGTTAAGGACTCTGGAAAACCTCTTGAGTATGAAACCTCCTCAAAGATGAGCTCCGGCTCTGTTGGTCCGCAGTGAATGTTCCACAAAATGTCTGCTGCTACGTTTACTTTGATCTTCACGTCCATTTTACAGCCCAGAATCAAAGACGTGTTCGTGTCTGATGCTCAGAGGAGTTAAAGCAGAAGTTAGAACAGCTAAACCATCAAAGAGCAGCGATAGCCTGAATCCATTGGAGGAGAGGATTCAGAACAGGGCTCGGTGATCCTAACGGGCCAATGGGAGCAGGGCATGCTGGCCCATGTGACCTGAGAAAGGAGAGGATACTGTGTGTGATCCATTTAAATGGGGAGGAACATCTGTGTGTAGAAAACCACTGAGAAATCAGCTTTATGGGTCTTTAGATGAAGGAAAATCCCTGTTGTGTTCAAAGAGCTCAGAAATCTGAGCGTCTCCACATGGAGCCGTAATGTCTGTGTGCTACAGGAACAGCTTCCAGTGCGGCGTCATGTGTCTGAGGAGGCTCAACTACGACCGGACCGAGCTGGAGAGGAGGAGGGAGGAGGGGCAGCTGGAGCTGAAAGGTAGCCGGCGGCTGCTGGAGGGTCGGCCCTCTGAGCACGCCCCCCCCCCTCTCCCCCTCTCTCTCTCGCCCTCTTTCTCTTGCCCTCTCTCTCCCTTTTGCCCCCCCTCTCTTGCCCTCTCTCTCTCTTTCTTGTCCCCTCTCTCTCTCTCTTGCCCTGTCTCTCTCTCGCCCTCTTTCTCTTGCCCTCTCTCTCTCTCTTGTCCCCCTCTCTCTCTCTCTCTTGCCCTCTCTTACATCCTCTATCGCTCCCCCTCTCTCTTGCCCTCTCTCTCTATTTATTGTCCCCTCTCTCTCTTTCTTGTCCCCTCTCTCTCTTGCCCTCTCTCTCTCGCCTTTTCTCTCTCACCCTCTTTCTCTTGCCCTCTCTCTCCTTTTTACCCCCTCTCTCTTGCCCTCTCATCCTCTATCTCCCCCTCTCTCTATTGTCCTCTCTCTCTCTCTTTCTTGTCCCCTCTCTCTCTCTCCTGCCCTCTCTCTCTCGCCCTCTTTCTCTTGCCCTCTCTCTCCTTTTTGCCCCCTCTCTCTTGCTCCCCCCCTTGTCCTCTCTCTCTCTCTCTCTCTCTCCCGGTGCTGCTCTTGGTGGGAATCGTTGGTCTCCTGTAAATAACGGAGTCTGGGCTGCTCTTCATATTTAAAGCAGCTGTGAGAGGACTGCTGTTTGGATTCTGTGCCGTGTGAGTGGATGAAAGCCTGACTGGATGAATGTGGTTCCAGACGTGCTGCTGTGGAGCAACGAGCGCGTCATCAGCTGGGTTCAGGCCATCGGCCTCAAAGAGTACAGCAGCAACCTGTACGAGAGCGGCGTGCACGGGGCGCTGATGGCTCTGGACGAGAGCTTCGACCACAACGCGCTGGCCCTGCTGCTGCAGATCCCCACGCAGAACACACAGGTACACACACCAGGGACACACACCTGGGCCGCCCACAGTCCAGCTGAGACACGCACGGAAAAGACCCACAGCCGCTAAGAGCCGCTGCAAGAGAAAAGAAAATGACCAGAAATAGACTCAAAACTTCAATAATGGGAATAAAATGAGCATAAAAAGATACAAACTGATCAGAAAATTACAAGAAAAGACCAAAACAAGGCAAAAGAAACTAGAAATGGTGCAGATATTGACACAAAACGACCAAACTGTGGAGCAAAAGAGCAGAAAAAGAGACAACCTGATCCTAAAATGTTAAAGAAAACCAGCAAAAGAACAGAAACTCATCACAAATGGACTAAAAACTCAGATGATTACTTTGAAAATAACCAGAACATTTAGCAGAAGATCAGAAAAAGTGATGGAAAATGATTGAAAAATCAGCTTTTGGAGGTCTTTAGATGTGGGAAAATCATTTAAAAAGGGCGGTAAAAAAGGAAAAACTCTAAACAATCAGTCCCACACAGTTGGGTTTGATACCTGGGACAGACTGGGGCTCCAGGATGGGAGGGAACTGATCATCTCCCCCTTTTCTCCCCCTGCAGGCCAGAGCCACTCTGGAGCGCGAGTACATCAGCCTGCTGGCCCTCGGCACCGACCGGAGGATGGAGGAGGTGGGACGGAGGCTAATGGCTAACGGCTGTGGCTAAAGGCTAACGGCTACAGGCTGTGGCTAATGGCTATGGGGGGCCAGCAGCTCGTCCAGAGCTCTGCGAGGCTGACTAACTCTGCTCCTCTCCCAGGAAGACGACAGGAACTTCCGCCGCGCGCCCTCGTGGAGGAAGAAGTTCAGGCCCAAAGACGTGAGGGGGGTGGGCGCGTCGGACACGCTGCCCGCCAGCTTCCGGGTGGCGGGCGGCAGCGCGGCGTCGCCCTCCACGCAGCCAAAGAGGAGCCAGATGGACGGTAAGCCCCGCCCACTGCGCTCAGGCCGCTGGCTAACAGCATGGCTGCTCTGCCGTGGCTAAAGGCTAACAGCATGACTGCTCTGCTGTGGCTAATGGCTAACAGCATGGCTGCTCTGCTGTGGCTAACGGCTAACAGCATGGCTGCTCTGCTGTGGCTAATGGCTAACAGCATGGCTGCTCTGCTGTGGCTAACGGCTAACAGCATGGCTGCTCTGCTGTGGCTAACGGCATGGCTGCTCAGCTGTGGCTAATGGCTAAAAGCATGGCTGCCCTGCCGTGGCTAACGGCTAACAGCATGGCTGCTCTGATGTGGCTAACAGCTAACGGCATGGCTGTTCTGCTGTGGCTAACGGCTAATGGCTAACAGCATGGCTGCTCTGCTGTGGCTAACAGCTAACGGCATGGTTGCTCTGCTGTGGCTAATAGCATGGCTGCTCTGCTGTGGCTAACGGCTAACAGCATGGCTGCCGTGACTAACTGCTCTCTGCATGTGGGGACAGGTCAGTCTGTCCAGAGGCTGGACGCCGCCGCCGTCAGGACCTACTCCTGCTAACCGCCGCTGAGCCGCTCGGCATCACGCAGCGCACAGGTGTTGCTTAGTAACGCACGGCTAGCTCTCCTCGCTCCACCCATTCCTCCATCCACCCCCCCACTCCCTCCCCTCCCCCCCCCCCCCCCCCCCACCTGCTCACTCCCTACACCCATCCCTCCCCCCCGCCTCTTCTCCACCCATCTGCTCCCCCTCTCAGTTTCTCCTCATTATCTCTGTAGGTGGCCGCTGGTCAGAGGATGAAGGGGAGTTTCCCGCCTTTAAGACCAGAATGATGAACTGAACCTGAGCCTCCAGCGGAGGCCCCCCCCACCGGCCTCAGCTTCCCAGCGGAGGCCCCCCCGCCGGACCCAGCGGAAACCTTCTCGACTGATCCACAGTTTTGTATTTATGTCAAGCGATGGGACATTTCATTGATTTTTAGCGATCCAGTTGAAGCTCCTTTCGCCTGTATCTCCCCTTAATCAGCCCCCTTTTTTAAAGGACCCCCCCAGTTCTAAGCTCGCCTCTCAGATGTGTGTAACTGAATGTTTCTATTGTCTGGAGTTTGTATATTTCTACCAATAGACATTTTATCTAATCTTTTTGTATAATCCAGATGTACGTTTTTTCTTCCTCTTTGATCCGAACTTTAATCATTGGATTTATGCTTAAGTGACTTTGATACGCGATCTAACTTAATTCTTACCTCTTGGCCCCTTTGTAACTTGTCGTTTTTGTAGCTAACCACCAGTGAGGATGTGTAAACGAAGCTCTTAGCTCACCAGACGTGTGAATATCAGACAAACTGCTGGAGTTTTCCAGGCTCTGTTTGGCGAGCAGCTCCACACTGTGAGTCATATCGCCCGAGACGAAGAGCGACTCTCCCTCCTCTTCCTCCCTTTCCATATCTACGATACCAAAATGACTTCTTTAAAAGAATGAAAGCCATATCTGAAAACAGCAGGAAGCATAATCAGAGCGCCGCCTCCAGGTGGAGTCGGACCCCACATATCCCCCTCTAAGAGAGCCTGACCCCGCCCGCCTCTGGGGGCGCGCACGGACCCATTCACGTGCACACAGAGACTCGAGGAGCAGACGGCGCCGAGTCCGGCGTGCGCCGCTCCCTCATTGGACCAACGTCTTTTTTAAAACTCTTCATGTGGAGCCTTATCGTTTCTTAACTGCTTCTGTCCTCTTATTTATTGTTATTCCTCCGTGTGCTCGGATGGGTTTCCTGCCCCCCCCCCTCGTGTCCCGGCTTGTCGTCTGCACTCACAACTCGACTCCGGCTTTGGAGGAGCCGACGTTTTTCACTGTAGCCGAAGCTTAAAGTAGAAATGTCCGTTTTCTCTTTTGTTTGTTGTGATTTAGTCATTTATGCACAAAGCAAATCATGTTGCTGTTTTATTCCTACTTTTTTCTTCTGTAACAATGATGTACAGTCTGAGTACTTATAAACTATTTTTATCACAGTATTATTTATTGCCTACTTTCAATAAATAATGAAACTTATTTTCCACTGCAGCTCTAAATGCTTTGTGTAGTTTCCTCATTTGTTGCTTTCAGCTTACAGAAAGAAACTTCTAAAGAAAAGTCGTCTGGCTTTTGTCTGTTCAGTTTATATGAAAAACAAACTTTATATTCAAATGCTCAGCTCCTATAAAACATCTGAGCCTTTGAAGGAGTGATCCGTCTCTTTTTTTACCTGCTGTTACCTAGCTGTTCAGGATGCTGATCTGAAGCCTTTCAGGGCTTTTGATTGGCAGCAAACAGTCCAGCTGTTGTCCTCCAGCTCAGAGTGGCTGTTTTCTAAAGCAGGAAGTCTAAAATGATCCACAGCTCTGAGTTCCAGCTTTAAGTCGACTGGTTTCAGGCACAAAGTTTCCTTCATTTCTGGATGCTGGAACAGAGCTCATTTACAAGAAATGAAGCCTCTTTCTGGAGGAAAAAAGCCGGAAACTGAGCTCTCTGGACTCTAGTTTGATCAGAGGCTCAGATGTTGATGGTTTCTGTCAGAGTTGAACCTGCAGAGCAGGACGCATCCAGCTGCTTTTCAGCCCCAACCAGAAAGAAAAATGGCCCAAAGGATCCAAAGATGACCAGAGTTCACCATTTCCGTCCATTTGCTTTCAGAACCAGAGCTGATTTATGCTGAATAAATGTCTTTTAATGAACAGGCCTCGATTATTGTTCATAGATCCAGCTTCCTCTCAGGTTTCTCCCAATGCGCTAATGATTATTATTATCTAGTTCCAATTCCATCTGAAACCATGAAACAGTTTTTAAAAAGCTGTAGTAAAAGTCAAATCCTGATGCATTATTTCAGATCCGGTTCAGCTCTTATCTGTTCAGTTTCTTTCACTGGTATACTGGATGTTTAGAAGCTAAATCTAATTCTTTAAAGACACTGGGTTCTTTCACTAGATGGGAGGTTGCGGGTTCAATCCCAGTTTCCCTGGCTGTTGCACTATGGTGTCATAGGTCAACACACCGATCTGTAAATTAGCTTGATGGCAACAAACAGCTAACTGTGACATTTTTGTCACATGAAGGGAAAACTTTGGGTGGTGCGGTGACGACGTTCAAGAGGCATTTTTGGCATGTTTTCAGATAACTTTCTAACATTTAGACAGAGATTCGTTTTCATTCCGTCTCGGTACGCATTGCAATTAATAAATGCAAGGATTTCCATTAAAACCCTGTCGATTTTAAACTTTTTTGTGGAGATTCTCCCCTCTAAAAATGGCTTAAAAAAAAAAAAAGGTTGAAAAAAATCTACGCCCCGCCCACTTTGACGTCATCGTCGGCGGAGATTGGGAATATTGGGAGAGCCGGAAGAAGACTGCGGAAAGAGGCGAGCTGCAGATCCCAGGGAAGGCTCTCCATCAAACGGGCTGCTCGAACCGCATCGCGTCCCCCCCTCCTCCCCCCCCCGGGCAGCTTTTCGGTCGGTCGACGGTACCGCGGTGACAGTCGGTGAGTGCTCCGCGCGCGCGCCGTCCGTTGCAGGCTCCAACGGCCGGGCGCGAGCGCTGGCAGTTAGTCATTATTCCAGAAGGCACGTTAGCCGTAGCCTGCTAGCTGCTGACGGGAACCTGGAGCAGGAAATACCAGAGCCAGGCTGGCACACGCATCCATCCCCGCTTCCATTTCCAGTTTTCCTTTTCTTTTTTTTTTCCATTTCTGTCATTCAGCATCTAACCCGTGAATGGAGACAACCTTCAACCAGGTGTTGACCATGTTTCCGAATCTTTTTGACGGGGAAAGATGTCTTAAACGCGACGAGTTAGCCAACTCGCCAGTCATGAATTTGCTTTTATAAATATGTCAAACGTATTTAGGCGTTTGAAGACGGTGGCGGTAATTGTGGCCTACTTTATCCGTCGAACACCGACACGGAGTGGCCTTCGGGCAGCCATGAATCAGACGGAAATGGACGCTGATCAAACCCGATAAGTTCACTGCCAGCTGCTCGGTGTCAGCTCCATTTAATGTGAAGCTCAGTGGCATCAAACCCCAACCGTCACCCTCATGCCCCGACAAAAAGGCCAGAGAGGTGGGGGCTCTAACCCCATGGGTGTGGTGGGACGTGGAACAGGCCAGGTTGCTGCTTCCTGGTCTGAAGACTGCTCCTCCTGAGGGCATGGATGGATCCAGAACCGGTACAGACAGAAAAAAGCTCCTGGTCAAAACCCAGATTTGTGACGCTTCGGAGTATTTTACATGCTGATGTTTGACAGACTTGTTCCTTTTTATCAAGTTTTCAATCTGATGTAAAAGTTAAACTATACACATTCTCACTCTTTTGGAGGGTGGGATAGTTGGATTTTTGTGTTTCCTCATAGATGTGATCTAAAAGAACTGGACTTGGCCTCTGGAATTGGGTGCAGACCACCTTCTTGTCTGATTGGGGCTTGTTTTGGATCGCTCTACACTGGAAGTCTCTCATGTTGGCTCGAGGTCTACAATCGGTGTTACAGGGTCAAACTGATCCATTCCCCGCTGTTCGTCAGAGGCCGGAACTCAGGCAGCCTTCCCCTAAACCCCCCCCCCCAGCTTCTCCTGACAGATCCTTCTCAACCCACATGAGACATGTCCTCCCTCAGACAGTTCTGGTTTCATACCCGGGCCCTGAAAATCCTCCACAGTTAGGGACCAGGAGCGTCCTAACCAGATGAACCCCCTCGGTGTCTCTTTTCTCTGGTTGGTGGAGCCCCCACTCCCTCTCTTCCCCTCCGGTAGAAACTCATTCTTTGGGTTATTTTGGCGGTTTGACCTATAATGACGTCTGGAACCAGTTCAGCGTGTCCTACTGCAGTGCTGCTAACATTTCCCGCTTATAGTCTCTATTTTTGATTAACCCATTAAATGGAGCACGAATGAGGTCATTTTGATAGTGTCTTGCCAAGTTTAGAGGGTAAAAAGATTTCTCTTTGATTAGAAAAAGGCTGCAAATGAACTAATAGTCAGAAATGGCACTAAATTACTCTAAAAACAGCCTGAAAAGTCTTTTTTTTTATGGGTTTGATGTTAAACTTGTGACTCGGACACTGATGTTTAATAACCGACACGTATAAGCAGATTTTTTTCTCGGTTCCTGTTACTTCCGTAGGAAAAACGGTCGGTTTTGTTGGCGTGAACAAAAGATTTCAGGTGATTCGACTTTTGCCTGTAAATTTTTAGTTTATTAGCTTTTTTCAGGTCAGTTTGCTCTTCATCACAGCAGCTTGTGTTCAACCCACATTACGCCGATTCTTCTTCCCCTTTTCCAGAGTTTTATGGCAGAGTTTCACTGAACAATGCAATAAAAGCACCAGTTAAGGTTTTTAGGCTGCTGTTTTCTGTAGGCTGCACAATCTTGTGTTTTGGGATTTTTCACATTTATTGCCAACTAATTGTCCTTGTTGGTCTCAGTATCACACTTTCACATCTTGAAATCCTAAAAGTCGACATTAAGCTGTCATGTTGATGCTGACGGTCTGAAACAAACTTTTTATTACTTTACAAAAAGATCCTCTGATTGCCTTTTAAACCAAAGATGGCTTCAGATCTTTTTAAGGAAGAAAAACGGTTAAAGACTTCAGCTGCTCCTCACCGGCTTCCTTAAGCTGGAGCCAGTTTAGACTTCATATATCTGAAAAACCAACAGCTTAAAGCTTCCTCTTTATTTAGGAAGTTCTGCTGTTTGTGGAGAACCATGAAAGGGAGAAGTCAGTCCTACTGATTTAAAGAGTCACTGATTAAAAATATTTTTCCTCAAATAAGGTTTGTAGAAGTCAGGCTCTGATTCGACCTGTACGTTTGAATTCCGAATGAGGTGTAAAACCACTCCATCAAACCAGAATGCATTCAGAAAAACGTTTTGCATGCAAATTTTCTGGTTCAGTGTAAAACTGTTCATTTCCATATTTATGTGAGCTGTGTGGAGCCAAAAGGCAGCAGGGATGTGGTCAGCCCATGACCTAATGCTTTCCAGGGGACCTAAAAGTCAGGTTTTACAGCAGGGTTCTCAAACCTGGGCCGCTGTCCTGCAGGTTTGGGATGTTTCCCCCCCTCCAACACACCTAATTCCTCTCTTTTTTTCTTTTTTGTGTCTCAGTGTTTTAGGTTTGGATCGTTGAAGATGTGGAAAGCGGCAGCAGGACAGAACGTGAAGGTGGATGTAGATGCTGGAGGAGACGACTGGGAGACTGACCCAGACTTTGAGGTACCGGCACTCCCAAACCCCCCCCCCCCCGCTTCATCTTTCATCTCCCCGATTTGGCCGTGACTCTGAATGTCCGTGTTCTTCTAGAATGACGTGTCGGAGAAAGAGCAGCGCTGGGGCGCCAAGACGGTGGCCGGCTCAGGACATCAGGAGCACATCGAGTAAGAGCAGAGAAATGAGAAATGTTCCCATGTGTCAGAGAACCCAGGGAAATGTTCTTGGTCTCAAGGTGATATTCTCTGACGCGGGGGGGGTTCTCTGATCCCATCCTGACGGCGCTCTCTCTGTGTAGCATCCACCAGCTGCGTGAGACGGTGTCCACAGAGCACACCAGCCTGAAGCAGAAGGAGCTGGACAACATGCCCAAGGCCTCGCATGGATACGGAGGAAAGTTTGGGCTGCAGCAGGATCGCATGGACAAGGTGGGAGAGCAGTGGAGTTGGTGGGGGGAGGGGGCTGTGATTGTATCTTTATCCAAAAATGGCTTCAAAAAAGGGAAAAACAGTTAAAGACTTCTGCTTGTCATCGCTTCCTTAAGCTGGAGCCAGTTTAGAAGAACCCACAGCTTAAAGCTTCCTCTTTATTTAGGAAGTTCTGCTGTTTGTGGAGAACCATGGAAGGGAGAAGTCAGTCCTACTGTTAAATCAGTAGGACTGACTTCTCCCTTCCATGGTCACAGAGTCACTGAAGTGTTTTCTCTGGACACCTTTTGGTCTCTGTTGCTCTTCTGTCTCTTGTGCTCTTCTGCTCTGCCCTGGCTAATCGTTTTCCTCCTGTGTGTGTGTCTGCTTTCAGTCTGCGGTGGGCCACGACTACCAGAGCAAGCTGTCCAAGCACTGCTCCCAGACGGACACGTCCAAAGGCTTCGGAGGGAAGTTTGGAGTTCAGGCGGACCGCGTGGACCAGGTAGCTCCGCTGCTCTGCTCTGCTCTCATTAGCTTTAGCTTAGTCTAGCATGGATGGAATGTTCTGCTTAACATGCTGCTCTCATTAGCTTTAGCTTAGTTTAGCATAGAGGGAATGTTCTGCTGAAACCGCTGCACTCATTAGCTTTAGCTTGTTTTGGAATGAAGGGAACGTTCTTCTGAACACGCTGCTCTCATTAGCTTTAGCTTGGTTTAGCATGGAGGGAATGTTCTGCTGAACGCGCTGCTCTCATTAGCTTTAGCTTAGTTTAGCATAGAGGGAATGTTCTGCTGAAACCGCTGCTCTCATTAGCTTTAGCTTATTTTGGAATGAAGGGAACGTTCTTCTGAACACGCTGCTCTCATTAGCTTTAGCTTGGTTTAGCATGGAGGGAATGTTCTGCTGAAAGCACCTGAAATCTCTATTTGTTGCAAATATGAGCGTTTTTATGAATCTGTTATTAGTATTAACCTTACAGACTTTGGTCTTGTTGAAATATATTAATTAAATGTTAATTGAAAATGAATTATTCTTTTTTACATATTTCAGTAGATAACTATTATCATTATTGTTGTTGTTTGTTATTATTCATAAATACAGACCAAAAGTTCCTCTGGTCTGTATTTCTGAATAAGAAGTAACTGCATGTTGGTGTTCAGTCTCGCATCATTTCACTCTTTTTTTTTTTTTTTTTTTTAAATTATTTTAAAGTGGAACATAAAGAGGAGGCCAGGAGTGGCAAAGGAACCCCACATTAACTAATATCTCCTCTCTCTCCAGTCCGCCGTTGGGTTCGAGTATGCTGGGAAGACAGAGAAGCATGCCTCTCAGAAAGGTAATGTCCAGACTTGCCTTTTTCCTGATATTTGGTGCCGCCTCGCACAGGAAAGCACAGCTCTGGTTCTCTGCATGTGCCTTAGCTGTTACCCAACAGCTAAGGCTGTTTACACCAGAGCTGGCCTGCAGGGCAGAGCTTTCTGTGCCGCACTTTGAGCTTTTGGCCCCAGAATCTGGTTTACCACAGATCACTGTGCTGCTTTAGCCGATTCAGGGCCGTCGCCAATGCTGGGATGACCTCTGACCCTTCATTTCTTTATTTTATTTTGTTGAAGTTTTCAATTACAAAAAAACAGTACAACTTAGTCACATTAAAATAAAACAAACAATGTGGAATATAATGTTAAGGGGAATTTAAGAGATGAGATCATTAAAAAGAGAATCAACAATTATTTGGAGAAGTGGGAAGAGCAAGGCGAGAAACCTGACCTTTCTTTTTTTTTTTAGAATACTTTTTATTTTGTAGTGTCTAATTATGGAAAAACAGTCAAACTTATCCCCATTAAAATGACAACAAAACAGTATATAATATCGAAAATAATACCGCTACCTAAATAATTTTAAAGGAAATTATCAAATTATTTAGAAAATTGGAAAGGAGCAATGAGAGAAGCATGACATCTGACCTTTTTTTTGGGGGGGAATATGCTTATTTTGAAGTTATCAATTGATGACAAACATCACAATTCATGACAATATACAATGGAATATGTAATCATATGAATTGATATGATATAGAAAATAATTTGAAAGGCAACTTAAAATACGAATTCAAAAGAGAATAAAAAATTATTTCGGAAGTGGAAGGAGCAACGAGAGAAGCATGACCTCTGACCTCTCCCCCCTCAGATTACACCACTGGCTTTGGGGGGCGATACGGCGTGCAGGCCGACCGCGTGGACAAGAGTGCTCTGGGCTTCGACTACCAGGGCAAAACGGAGAAGCACGAGTCCCAGAAAGGTTCGTTTGGAGTCCCAGCGGGTCTTTGTAGGCCTGTATGGGTCTCAACAGGTCTCTGTAGGCCTGTCTGGGTCCCAGCGGGTCTCAGAAGGCCGGTCTGGGTTTTGCTGACAGTCTTTGTTTTTGTGTGGGGACTTCGGCAGATTACGCCAAAGGCTTTGGAGGCAAGTTTGGCGTGGAGACCGACAAGGTGGACAAGAGCGCTGTGGGCTTCGAGTATCAGGGCAAAACCGAGAGGCACGAGTCCCAGAAAGGTGGGTGGAGCCCCCTGAGCGCCACCGCTCTGGTTCAAAGGTGACGGAAGAGATTTGTTTTTACCTGCTCTGTGAGGAGGAGGGGCCACCTGCTCTGTGAGGAGGAGCTTCCTGTTCAGGGTGAGGAGGAGGAGGCTCCTCTTGCTCAGCGCTGGGTGACGCCCAGCTGGTTTCTGTGTCCCGAGGCCCTGGCTGGGCCTCAGCCCACATCTGTCCTGACTTGTCTGGACAGTGAGGCTTCTGCTCCTGCAGAACAGCAGCTCCACACTGGGCATGTTAGCCTTCAGGCTAACCGGGCCACATGTGGAGGACCCGGTTTGGGCCCAGATGTGTGCAGAGGAGAGAGCCTCATGCTTTAAAGCTGGTGCAGCTGCTGGAAGGATCCACGGGGTTCTGCTTAGTCTGCAGGCCCTCTGCTCCAGACTCCACTGCGAGGGAGCTCTGAGGGTCTGGGGTGCTTTTGGTGGAGCCCAGATGAGTTCTGGGCCCTGACCTGTGGCCTCTCCCTGCAGACTACGTGAAAGGCTTCGGGGGGAAGTTTGGCGTGCAGACGGACCGGCAGGACAAGTCGGCCCTGGGATGGGACCACCAGGAGAAGCTGCAGCTGCACGAGTCCCAGAAAGGTCTGTCCCCCCCCCCCCCAGACACCTGAGGAGTTCTGCTGCCCTTCAGAGCAGTTACCAGGAGGCAGCAGATAATGGTGGGTGCCCCCTCAGAGGGGAGGCCCCACAGCCCCCCGCTCTGCGGAGCCCGTGGGCTCTGATGTGGTTTCTGTGTGGCAGCAGAGCAGTTTTTCAGAGGTCAACAACTTCCCCAGTCGGTGAGCGAAAGGCCTCAGAGAGAGGAAGTGAAACCAGGGCTGAGATTTTTATTTGCACGTCCGACTCGCAGGGAAAAAGACAGAAAACGTGCAAACAAGCCCCCAAAAGGCCTCTTTAGTGAGCCGCCCGGCAGCCACAGAGCTGCAAAGCTGGAGCTGTTCAACGGGCAGCAACTGACCTCTGACCTCTGCTGCTTGTTTCCAGATTATTCTAAAGGTTTTGGAGGGAAATTTGGGGTTCAGAACGACCGGATGGACAAGGTGAGCAGTGTGTTGTGTTGTGTGTCTGCCTATCACCTCCACCTGTTTGTTGTGTTGTTGTTGTGCATCTGCCTTTCACTCCACCTGTGTGTTGTGTTGTTGTTGTGTGTCTGCCTCACTCCTCCTGTGTGCAGAGTGCTGGGACCTTTGAGGACGTGGAGAAACCGGCTCCTTCCTACCAGAGAACCAAACCTGTGGAGGCTGGTGAGTCCGAGCAGCCTCTGAGCTCTGAGCCCCACAAGGAGCCCACCTCACCCGTTTGTCTCCCTCCTTCCTCCATCCCCCTTTACTCCCTCCCTCCTTTCTCTCTCTCTATCTCCCTTTCCCTCTTATTTTCCCTCTCTTTCTCCCTCCCCCTTTCCTTCCCCTCTCTTACCCTCCTCCATCCCATCCTCCTGCTTTCTTCCCTCCCATTCTTTCCCTCCCTCTCCTCCCTCATCGTCTTTCCCTCCTAACCCCCCCCCCTTTCCTTCCCCTCCCTCACCCTCCTCCATCCCTTACTCCTGCTCCCCCCCTCTCTTCTCCCTCTTTCTCTTCTTCCTTTCCTCCCTTTCTCTCCCTCTTTTACCTCCTATCCTCCCTCTATTTTTCCCTCACTTTCCTCTCTCCCTCTCTTTTTTTTCTCCTACCCCCCCCAGCTGGCAGCGGCACAGGCAGCATCAAAGCCCGCTTTGAGAACATGGCCCGTCAGACGGAGGAGGAGGACCGGAAGCGGGCCGAGGAGGAGCGGGCGCGTCGGCAGGCCAAAGAGAAGCAGGAGCAGGAGGAGGCGCGCCGCAAGATGGCCGCCGCCACGCCGCCCTCACCCACCCCTGCGGCTCCCCCCGCCCAGCCCACCTACCAGGTGTGTCCTGCTGGGCCGCCGGCGCCCCTGAGACCCCATCCGCCCCCCCCCTCTTGTGTCTGACCCTCTGTGGCATCGGCAGGTCACGGAGGAGGCGTCCAGCGCCGAGAACGGCGAGCCGGTGTATGAGCTGGAGCCCCGGGACGAGCCGGTGTACGAGCTGGAGCCCCGGGACCAGCCGGAGGAGCAGCAGGAGGACCTGTACCAGGAGCCGGAGGAGCAGGAGCAGCCGGAGGAGCCGGCGGCAACAGGTTTGGGTTCTGAACAGAAGCTTTTACAGGACGTTTCTGTAAACGTCCAGATAAACACCAGACAGCAGGACGAGTTTGGATGTGTGAACATCAGAAGGAAAAAGCAAACAAAAATACTACACAAACTTTCCCCATCCCCCAACCCCACCCCCAACTTTTCTCTGTTCCCCTCCTCTCTTCCTGGTGCTGCAGCCCCTTTCTGAACAGTCAGAGACTCTTGTCCTCTGCTCTCCGTCTTTCAGACCAGCAGCAGTACGACTACGGCGAGGACCTGGGGGTGACGGCCGTGGCGCTCTACGACTACCAAGCAGGTGGGGCGCTGACCGGGGGAGGGGGGGCACTGACTAGGGGGGTGCCGACCGGCCGGCGGATTGGAACAGAGGCGGCTCGTCTCAGATGCAGTCCAGGGGGTTTGCCAGCACCAGGCCCAAAAGGCCCTGTTATGTCATCAGTGTGCGACGGTCAGCGTGAACCTGAAAGCCTTGCTTTGAAACCGTCTGACACTTCAGCTATCAGCTGGCTCATTAGTTGGTCTCCATCAGCCTCCAGCAGAGCCAGTTTTGTCCGGCTGTGCAGCCTCAGGCCCCTGCAGGACGCCGGCCGGCGAGGAGCTGAGAGGCGGCCGTTCTGACCCCTCCTCTGCTCTCCGTTTCAGCCGGTGATGACGAGATTTCCTTCGACCCCGACGACATCATCACCAACATCGAGATGATCGACGAGGGCTGGTGGCGTGGCGTGTGCCGCGGCGCCTACGGGCTCTTCCCCGCCAACTACGTGGAGGTCCGGCAGTGAGGGCTGCCCCAAAGCAAGATGGCCGCCGCCCCTCTCCCCACTTTGGTTTTCCCTCTTTCACCTCATCTTAGCGCCCCGACACTGTGAGACGTCCTCAGGTCTCCTGATTGTCTTTGCCCCCCCCTCCAAAAACTCTCCAGGAGGACCAGACAGAGCTGCTCTTAGCTCAGCTGTGTAGGTTTGACCCGGTTAGCCTCACAGGGTGATGGTCAGATTTAGGTTTTTTACACATTCTGAGAAGTATTTAAGCGTCTCCAAAGAGCAGAGAAATTATGGAGAACTGGAGCTCAGCCAGAGAAACGCGCACACTGGCTCCGAGTTATCATGACGGCCAAAAAACCATTATCGATGTTCCCTTTTTTTCCCCCCCTTTTGCTCAAATCCTGTTCAGAATCATGGGGGCTTTTAAGGCTCTGCGCCTCTGCATTGTGCACAGAAGCCACACTCGGAGTCCTGTACAGAGATCATCTACGAGGGGAAAATTGCTTTGTCCTGTCTGTCTTTTTCTGGGTGTTTCTGTCCGTGTGGGGGAGCTGGCTGTGCAGCGCTTTGTGGAAACCTGTGGGCTGTGTCCAGGGGCTGAGCCCCCGGCCAGCTCCCATTTATCCCAACACAAGCCGCTCCTGAGCAGCGCAGCCCAAAGTGTGTGTGTGAGAGTGTGTGTGTGAGTGAGTGTGCGAGGGCTCTCATTTACTCATCTCTGGGGTTTTATAATAAAAAGTGACCTTTTCAAATGTATTATTTTTAAATGTTCCGCTGTTTGCTTGAGTCACATCATTACCTGCTTTTTATTTTTAGATCAATAAAGTATGAATAATAAACCTGTGTGGGAACATTATTTAACCACAGCAACTTTATACACTGTTTTTAAATTGAGATGTTAAGATTGGCTTCTATTTACTAACTTTAGTTCTACTTTATTACTGGGTTTCATGTAATTTACTAACAGTTTTGTCCATTTTAGGAATTTTACTCATGTCCATAGTTGTACTTCAGGGACCAAGCACATTTCGGATCACACCTCGGTGGGATCTGCTGGACTGGGAGCTGCCTAATTAGTTGAGTTAAATAAAGTTTAAGCGCCCGTAACTTCAGTTTCTGTGAATGAAGGCGGGATTAATGTGTTAAACATCCGAACGGGGGTTTCTGTGGGAGTAACTGCTCCTAAATGAGCCTTGTCCCGCTAAGTAACGTCTGCGCCCCCTCCCGCTGTCATCAGCACCAAACTTACACAATTTTTAAAAACGTAGTTAGCAGCGGGACGATGGCCATTTAGATAAATAATTCAGATAACACTCAATCCATAATTATATATTTCTTTATTTTTGTCAAAAAAAAGCAGAAAACTTCACGGACGGGCTGTGACATGAGACGCATGCGTAGCAGGAAGCTGGACGTCATCCAGAGTGGACCATCCCGTCTCTTCCGGCGCAGACTTGTGACGTCAATCTCCTTTCAGTCAGTCGCCTTGAGACGCAGCAGACGAGCGTCACACAAAGACCCCAAGCACGGGAATGGCCGGAGAGTAGTGAGCGGCGGAAGAACCGGGACCGTTTCTCCTCCAGTCGGACAGCGCGCGCGCACACAGTTAACGAACACTCACGCGCGTCCAGGCTTTGTTGACTAGGCAACAGAGCCCCGAGCCCAACGGCTAAACTGCTAGTTCCGGTCCGCCGACAGCTCCTTCCGGCGGCGGCACTTTCGGCTGGAGCTCCTCAGGAGGACCAGGGCCCCCCCACAGCTCATGAACCTCGCGGAGGCCGGCGCCGGGTTCCTGTCCTCCATGATGTCCCACGGCTTCAAAAGCAGCCGGCAGGACTTCGGCTTCGGGCCGTGGACGGTGACCGCCGCTAAGAACCACATCATGAAGTCCAGAGACGTGGAGCGGCTGGCGGAGGAGCTGAACATCCCCTCGCTGCCCGAGATGCTGTTCGGGGACAACCTCCTGCGCATCCAGCACCAGGACGGCTTCGGCATCGAGTTCAACGCCGTGGACGCCCTGAAGAGGGTCAGCGTGGGGGAGGACACGGTGAAGGTGGCCTGCGCCCAGGAATGGCAGGTGCTGTGGAAATTCTGTTCTAAAGCAAAAAGCCTGAGTCCGTCCGAGACGTAGAAATGTATTCAAAAGAAGCTTCATGAAGGGAGAGCAGCAGTAAACAAATTAAAACAAATCACATAGCATTTTATAGCTTCTGAGTCTGAGATGAGAGGTAAAGTATTTCCTCCATACAGCAGCTGTAATTAACAAACCTCTAGACAAAACATTAGGAGATAAAGTACAGCAGAACCTCTACATACGAATTTATCTGGTTCCAGAATTGACTTCATATGTTAAAATATTGGTATGTTGGTTCAAATATTCCCATCAGAATACACTGTAATTCCTATAATTCGTTCCAAAAACCTACGATAATTCCTTAATAAATACTGCAGATAATTACACATAGCAATAAAACAAATGACTTGTAGAAGAGAGATGGAAATAATCAATAAAAAGGGTTTTTATTGGCTCTTTACCTCAGAGACTGAACATACTCTAACTTACTCTGACTTTCACGACCTGAACTTTAAACTAACTTTACCTAACTACCTTTTTATTTTTTATTTAAAGTTTATATTTATTTATATATATTTTTTTCTATGACTTCAAAGTCATAAACTAACTTAGCTATTTTTTTTTGGGTGTCGAGTCGAATATTTGATCAAATTTCACTTTGTATGTTGGAAAATTCGTATGTTTAGGCATCGGAAGCAGAAGTTCTGCTGTAACTGTAATGCATGGCAAATGTATCTTTATGGCACATATAGTGTACAAGACAATTCAGTTTGTTTTATGCTTGACATAAAAAGTGAGAGTTTAAAAGCAGAAATTAGGAATAAGGTAAACAAAAGAAAAACAAATACAAATCGTTGATTAAAGATATTTAAAATGATGAGTGCAGATTAAATTAAAGAGGTTCTGCTGTACTCATGTACTGCCCCCCCCCCCCCCTCCACAGGAGAGCCGGTCTGACTCGGAGCACTCCAAGGAGGTGGCGCGTCCCTTCGACTGGACCTACAGCACGGACTACCGGGGCACGCTGCTGGGGGAGGGCGCGGCCCAGATCCGGGTCAGCGACACGGACGAGCGCATCGACATCGAGCGGCTGAAGGCGCGCGAGCACATCCAGTTCTTCGAGGAGGTGCTGCTGTTCGAGGACGAGCTGCACGACCACGGCGTGTCGGCGCTGAGCGTGAAGATCCGCGTGATGCCGGCCAGCTTCTTCCTGCTGCTGCGCTTCTTCCTGCGCGTGGACGGCGTGCTGGTGCGCGTGCACGACACGCGCCTCTTCCACCAGGCCGGCGCCGACCACATGCTGCGCGAGTTCAGCACCCGGGAGAGCAGCGTGGCGGCGCTGGGGGGGGGCGGCGGCGGTGGCGGCGGCGTGCCCCCGGCGCTGCTCACCGACCCGGAGCAGCTGGTGCCGCTGCTGCAGGTGCGGCTCACGCACCGCGAGCGCCTGCAGCTGCCCGCCCAGGCCCCGCCCCCCGGGGAGGGGGAGGCCCAGTGACCCCGCCCCCCCCCCGCCCCCCCCCCCAGTAACCCCTTACCCCGCCGGTGGCTGACCCAGTGACCACGCCCCACGTAAAGAAGGAGGACGCCCCCCCAGACTTTTGGACAGACGTGGGTCTCCATGTTACCAGCCTGGTCCTCAGGACCCAGATACCTGCTCCCCAGTTCCAGCTGCCCTGATGGGGGCGGGGAGACCCAGTGGGGGGGTTCTGGATCTGGAAGCCAGCAGGGCTCTGGGCCCTGAGGACCGGGGCTGGATGAGCCCTGTTACTGGGTCAGAACCAGCACCCTGTAGCATTTCTGTACACGTTCTCACTGTTTTTCATTTGTTATGTGAGCAGAACCTCCCAGAACCTCCCGGAACCTTTGAGAGTCCCGCAGCTAAACGGAATCTCTGCTTTAAAACGTCCCGTTTGATTCTTTGAGCTCATCACTAATAAACGTCTTTCAGGAGTCTGAGAGCGCTTTTAATTTTCTAAAGGTTAATAAAACGTTTCCACAGAATTTTGATTGTATCTCCTCTTTTTATGGTTAAAGACTGAAGTAAAGAAATAAAAAGACA